TTATCCTATCTAATTACAAAAACTGACGTCAAAACTGAACCTGTTGAGCGTGCTCTTGAAAAGACTGAAAGTAATCAAAAATCCAAGAGAACAATCACAAGAAAATCTAAACTAGAACTTTTTAAAAAAAGACTTGTAAAGCAGGAAAATATAGAAAATATTCTTTCCAGTAAAATATCTATGGATCCTTCGGCCAAAAGTTTGATTGATATGCTGGATTTAAACGTAACGAAAATAAAGAATTGTCCTCCAGTCAAGAAAAGGAGGCATAGTATCGAAAAATTTCCACTTTCCTTCGAAAGCTCTGACAGTTCCTCGTTCGTATTTAGTAGCCTGCCTAGATGTCGGAGTCCAAAAGTAAAGAGAACATCAAAAATTCGCCAAAGTTGTGAAATAATTCCTATTAAAAGAGCAAGTCCCTATTCGACCAGATCTGACTCACCAGCACGTATACTAAGAAATGGAAAGCATAGGAAATTGAAGGACACTCTCTTAGACGGTTTAGATTCGGACTATAAAAAACGAAGAAGACTTTGTTCTGACTATAGCGGAAGTGAAAAATCAGTTTCTAAAGTATCTGGATATGATTCCGACAGTAGTTTTTCAGACTTAGCGTCACTTATCGGCAATGAAAGTGTCGATATGAAAGACGGCGAAATCCTTAGCAAAATAGAGCCCAAGAAAGAAACAACAGCTTCTACTGCAGAACAAGATATTAAGCCATTAAAAATATTAAATATCAAAAGGACCATGTCTACGGAAACCGCATCGTCAGATCTTCATCAAACAACTGACACCAACTCAAACTTGTTTGAAAATGTAAAAGTTGAACCGAAACAGCTATTAGATAAAAAATCAGTTGCTTTTTTCGATGAAGATATCAAATCAGAGCCCTCCACTCCGGATAATAATTCACTTCTATTCGGAAACATTGAGTCTGGAGTTCCAGAGAAAGAAGTAATTTTAGATATAATGAAACAAACGTTTAATGATGTTAAAGTTGACGATGAAAAAAGAACAACCAGATCATCTGCACGTAAAACAGAAAAACTTGTTGATCAAGAAGAACACCCTTGCATGAAAACCACTAAGTTTTATGGTATAAGTGATGGCTCTTTAACTGAACAACATTATGCTACGTGCAAGACGGAAAAGTTAGAAAATGTGGAAACTAATATCGAAAATGAATCACAAACTCCTGAAACTAGTCAGACTGAATTAAACGAAGAAATCGAAAACAATAATAAAGAAGAAGAACAAATACAAGAAGAAAAGTTAAACGTTGACATCGACGTAATTATACCTGAAACTGTCCCTTCACTACAAGAGACTGCAATTTTTCCCACACCAATTGAGAAAGGTTCAACTCCAACATATGAGTTAATAAACCAGGTGGAAGAAATAAAACACGCGATCGAGGAAAAGCCTGATCTAGAAAACAGTAAACAGGATAGTTCAGAAAATGAAAATAATAACGACAATTTTCAAAACAATTCAGAAACCATACTGGAAAAAGAAAAAATTGTTGAAACTCCCGAAAACCTTGCAATCAAGGAAAATATTCTTCAAGCTCTTGGATTGCAAAGTCTTAAAGCAGCCGAAGAAGCAAAGCAACGTGTCAAAGTGAAAACCAACGCTAAACAAGATTACACAGGGACTTTAAAAACTGTCATAAAACTTAATAGATGCGAAAAAAAGAAAAACCGTGGTACATTGAAAATGACATTACAGAAAACTAAAAACAAAGGAAAATATATGGACCAAGTTACCTACGGCTTTGAGGACGATTACACTCAAAGAAACGTCAAAGAGGTAAATAAAAATGTTAATTGTTTTTTATCGTATATATTTTAGCTCGCGATTGAACTATGTGTTTATTTTGTATTTTTTTAATAGGGATTAGGCGGGTGGAGATCAACAAGTGGGCAGACATCAGATACAGCGGGTGCGCATCGAAAGTGTCATTATTCTAACAGATCTAACATCATGGGTAATATATGGTTTTGGGCTTTATTTTCTTTTTCTCATTACTTTGCGCTTCTCTTATTTAATAATAATGAACATGTCTTCGTTTGAAAAGACATTTATACATCAGTACGATGTATAAGTAGATAATTTTTTACTGGCTTCAAAATTATTGCTGAAAAAATCAAATCGATATAAGTTACAGAACCATAGCGATTAAATTAATGTACTTGTTCATCGAAGTTATTATACTCCCACTGCTACAACTTACTGAATTGCAATGTTTATTTATAAGCATCAATTATACATATGTGTACCATTAAAACTGGTTCAATAAATAATAAACACGAATTTCAAGTGCTTTTATGAAAAAACAGCTTTTCATAATTTCATTCTGCACATTTTTTACTAAAATTGCTGTAATATTTAATGTACAGATTTTTTTATTTGAAATACATATTTTTGATACTTTTAAAGTTAAAGATAACATTAGGTAATACCCATTCCCAGCAATGAGATAATTTTTTTATAGGATTATTGAAATAATTTAAATTTTAATCAAGAAATGAAACGGAAAAATCCCTAATTACAAATTTTTTACGCGTTAGACGCATTCGTGATTTCCTGTAAAAGAAAACAGGATAGCAGCCTTGAACAGCGTGTAATAAATTAACATGGGAAATGAATAACACAAAGATGAAGCTATTTTACATCTAGCGGCCGTTAACTGAACTAAGTTTGCCTTCA